AATATTAGTTTATTCAGAAACCATCAAAACATTGAAATTCAAGTATAACTATGGTAATTATGCGTAACAAAAATGAGTGCGCAAAGAGTTTCCGTGCGCAAAGTTTAACTTTGCGCACGCAAATGAGTGTGCAAAGTGATTACTTTGCGCACGCAAGTAGAAAAAACAATATTTAGTGCAAAAATAGGGCTTTTTTTTGTTTATTTCACTGTATTTCGAAAACTAAGGATCGGATGGTATTGCTACTGTGGCAATAGTTTTAGTTTAGGTTTAGAGCATTGAACTAGCTTTAAAATGAGCCATCATACAACCCTGTAGGTCTTTTAGTCTTCGGGAAATATATTTTATTTTTTTTTCCCCAAAAAAGAGATTTTCGTAAAAAATTCCTAACTTTTTAATTTTCATGCTAGACAATTAATTTTTTACACAAACATAGTAGATGAGGCAGGCTTTATTGAGCCCAAATTTGGGCCCGGTCTGATGGGTCGTTTCGGCATAATACCCTTGTCAAGCAAAATGGGGATGTTTCTAAAGCAGTCTGTCGAATTGAGGATAATTTTTTTATATTTATTTTGAAAAGTACACTGATAAGTCGAAATGCCAAACTATCGATCCTCAGATTTTCCATTTAATTTTTTTATCGCAAGTAAAACGGCTTCGAACATGACTGAAAATGGAAAAAATTGGCGGGAATTCAAACGGAGTGACAGCGAGCTCCCACCTGCCCACGCAAATTACATTTTTTTTTCCATTTTCAGTGATGTTCGGTGCCGTTTTACTTGTGATAAAAAAATTGAATGGAAAATCTGAGATAGAGGATCGATAGTTTGGCATTTCGACTTATCAGTGGACTTTTCAAAATAAATATAAAAAAATTATCCTCCATTCGACAGACTGCTTTAGAAACATCCCCATTTTGCTTGACAAGGGTATTATGCCGAAACGACCCATCGGACCGGGCCCAAATTTGGGCTCAATAAAGCCTGCCTCATCTACTATGTATGTGTAAAAACATAATTGTCTAGCATGAAAATTAAAAAAGTTAGGAATTTTTTACGAAATTCTCTTTTTTTGGGGGAAAAAAATCATTTCTCGAAGACTAAAAGACCTACAGGGTTGTATGGTGGCTCATTTTAAATCTTGTTCAATGCTCTAAAATTATTGCCATAGTAGCAAAACCATCCGATCCTTAGTTTTCGAAATACAGTGAAATAAACAAAAAAAGCCCTATTTTTGCACTAAATATTGTTTATAAAATCCCCTAGAAGTAATTAAATGTTGCATTTTTGGTTTTTAGCATCTATAAATGATCCTTAACAATACTGCATCGATACTTTGCTGTTAAATTTTATGTTACGAAAAAATTTATCTGCCCTGGCCTAAGAAGTGATCCTGCGTTGGTATATATAATACGGTAATTTCCATAAGACGTTGAATTGGACCTGCCCAGCGTTAGGACAATATTGAGTTGGTTTTTTGATATTGGAACGATTCTTGGTATTTGATTGACATATTTGATCTTAATGTTTTCCTCACCTGCCAGCTTTCAAGTTTGGATTTCTCTGCGCTTCAGTTTGATCGCTTTTCATGTAAGTGCCGCTGTTCTCTTCTTCGATAACTTTTCTGCACTTTAGAGACTGCAGTGATATAATTCCTTCGTTGGTAGAACTATCTTTACTGTTCTTTTTTTGTTTTCATCTTCTCTGTCCAGTCTTATGATTTTGGCTGCTTCGGGGAGCCTCAAATCCATCTTTGTGAATGCCCTCATTACTGCTTCTCTATCTTCGTTGGCTTTCTCCTGCTGGTTTTCCTTGACTGACATGCCGAATATTAGCACGTTGGTGGCGCGATAGTCTCGTTCTTTCATCTCGTTAAGAGTAAGCTCAACTCCTACATGGTCATCTGGTTTTTTTAAAGCCTCCACTTTCGTTTCCAATGTTTTTAGTGCATCTGCATATGACGTCCCTGGCAGTTTCTTATCTACTTGACGCATCTCACTTTTTATTTCTGAACATTGAACTAAACAAACACTCTGGAACGGGCGCACTGCTTTATGCTAGTGTGGCGAATTTTGATATATGCAACCCAGCAATACAGTGGGATTGTTGTCTCGCTCGCACTCATTGCGATTAACGTATAAAAAAAGAAGAGGTTCTTCATCTTCCTTACCTCAATGATCCAAACACTTCAAACAGCTGATCTCAATAGCCGCCATAGTGCAGAGAGAGATGCAAATCCCACTTGTTTGTTATCCTTCCTGGCACAAACCCTTGCGTAGGGAACATTATGCAGCCACCGTTCCAGTGTGTTTGTTTAGTTCATTGTTTCTGAAATATCCTTCTTTGTTGTTTCATTCTCCTTTCTCCTTCTATCCGCATTGATACCATAAGAGCGTCAACGTCATTTCTAAGAGCATCCAGACTTTTTGTGGTTTTACCACCTTGCTCTCTTATTATCTTAAGATCCTCTAGGTTCTTTTGAATTTTTTCATCTGGGGAAGATTCTTGATACTCTCTTTGCATCCGGTGCAGTAAATATGGTAGCTCGTGAGGGGCTGGGAATGACTCTTATTTCTTGTGCCATCAGTCCAGTACACTCGCTGCATATCACCTCTTTGCAGAAGTCGCAGGGATATCCGAACAGTTTTCCTTTTTCCTACTTCTGCACAGATGCCTTTCGGCACTTTGAACAGTTTTGCGACATAACTTCCAACGGTCCCCTGACGGACACTAGAAAGCGACGAAATATTGTTCTGTATATGTTCCTTTTCCTTTGCGTGTTCCTTAGGGCTAGATATTCTAGATATTTTTTTCTTAAAACTTAGGGAAGTTTTTTTTTTTTTTTGGTGTTTATAATTAGAGTTGTCTGTCTTCGCTGATGTAAGGAGAGATAGCCCATTGCGCCAAAACACACAGACATTCAAGGTAATTCCTCCAAAGTAATATATCAAATAAACTCGTGCCAAACAAAAAAAAAATCCAAGAAAATAAAAATAAAAAAAAATGTTATTTTACACGTTGATACCTAAATAATAATTCAACAAATAAACAAACAAGTCCACCGCGGAAGGAACTTTGCCCTGGTTAACCCGTAGAAGGCTTGCTTTGGTTCCTATCAGTGTTTATCGACAAAAAAAGAGTAGAGAGAAATGTTTATATTTTATATTTATATTAGGTTTCCTTTGCGCTTGCTTCTCTGAAGCGTTTTGTTGAAAATTCGGTAATATTTCAAGTAAGCAAAATACACATCTTACGTGGACACTTCTGATGCACCAACTTTCAAAAAAACTTCTTGATCACTTTTTAAGACTTTAAACTAGGATAAATCAAGACCGACAAAATACCCATGCGTTCTGTTCAATGTCACACACACTTTGTATAGAGCAAAAACTCTGTTGGTATCTTGTCGAATGCTTTTTCAAAATCAAGGTAGATGACATCAATTGGTTCATGGTTGTCATCAGTCAGGGTCCACTCATTTAGTCTGGTTAGCAGGTTTGGTAATTATTTTTGCCTACTTCAACCCCTTGTAGGACGGCACTGACGTATCTTAATTGGAACTTTATACATGGGTAACGTTTTGTAGGAAATTGTATAAGCTTTAAATTTGATGTCTAGTATTTTTCATTAAAACCTGAACATAAAGAAGGTATTCCTAAAAAAGTAAAAAAATGTACCTTTGGGGTGGTTTCTAGGAGGGTTGCCACCCCCGCAGGGGCGGGGCATCTAAGTATGTTGAATAGCACCCCAAGACCTAATAATCCAGCAATTTTTAGCTTTAAGGGATTTTGTTCTGGGTCAAACTTAGATGTACTGGAGTAAATGTTGATTTTAGTTTTGTTAGACTGATTGGTATATAAATTTCTGTGTGTTGTTTTGTTTCCGTTCTTGTGATACCACGGCTTTCTTCCAAGCTAACTTTTCTGTGCTCATTATGGTGTTAAGCATGTGAGACTATGGCTCTTTTGGTGCTTGTACACAATTTTCAAGAAAAACTTGTGTGATTTTTTCAAGCTCTGAGCTAGGGTTTGGTTTTAGTAATTTGATTGCAGTTTCTACTTTTTCGGCTGTGAATATGATGTTGGTTATTTCAGTCCGGGAGTAGGTTTCTAAAGGAAGTGTGGGTTTAATTGTGTTCTAACCCAATAATGTGTATATCCTTTCAAATTGCTCTGTAAAGCATTCTACAATTTCTTGGTTGGTTTCAAATTGTTTTGGGTTGCTTTATCAATTAAGTTTTTATGTTTGCAGTTGAGAGCGCGACTTATGTATGCATAGAATTGGTTGTTATTTGTCAATAGATTGTTTTCATGAGTTTTTCTTGCCATCACTATGCCCGCTTAGTTTTTTTGTTGATAACTCTGATACTTTTCTTCAGATTTGGATATTTGATATTTGTGCCACAGATTTATTTTCTGCTGGATCTCTTTAAATAGTTCTTTAGTCAGCCATGGTTTTTGCTTTTGAACTTTTTGAGGTCTTATTGATTACCTCAATGTAACTCTTGCTGGAGTGAGTTGTTGACAGCATCATAGTTAGGTTTCCAGAACTGTCCCTGATAAACCTTGTTCGTTGGCTGGGTTGGAGTTATGTTTTGGCTGGAAATACTAGATGGTCGGAGAGGTGCATGTTGCTGAATATCAAAAAATAGTTTCTTCTCATTAGTTATAAGTAAGTCTAGAAGTGATTGCTGGGCATTTCTAATTCTTGTTGGGAAATCAATATGTTGGTGTCCTTTGTGGTTTTGGTAACTTTCCAAGAAGTCATAACTGCACTCTGGTTGTGTGGATGAATTTCTATTTTGTCCCAGGGGATTTCAGGGTACATTTCAGCTTGGTCATTTTGTTGCTTTTCACGTTTAAATGATGATGATTGTAACTATTCTAGAATATGTCTAATTACCTTGATATTATTGTAAAAAATAAGCTAAGTGGTCTGTGAAACTTATGCTCAGATTTTTGGTACTTTATAACCTACCTAAAAGTTTCTCATCTCTTCTAGGTCAAAGCTATTCCCTACGTTCCAGGAGATTTAACTGAAGATAAAAACAGACCAGACAATTACAACCAATTAACACAAAACAGATTTAATGACAAGGAACCTGAACCGCGCGAAAACTATCCAAAATACAGGGACGATTTTTCTAGAATTTCTCCTGAACCTGAAAAATCTTTATCAGATCAAGTAAATGAAGTTCTCAAAAATTCGGGTAAAGCGATGGTTAGTGCCGAAAGTGACAATAAAAGAAGTTCAAAAAAGAACAAGATATTGTCGCCCATTTTAAGTGCTATTTCTAATTTTAATTTAGCCAAAAAATTACATAAGGAAAACTTGGAACACAATCCTCTGCCTGATACCATAACCGATTCGATTTATCGCAAATTACAGATGCAACGGCATCTGGATCAGGATCCAGGTTTGACTCTTGAAGATCAAAATTTTGCATGCGGAGTGGGCTGGAAAGGCTATCCAGGATATGGTCCTACTAAATGCACAAAATTGAAAATTTATAGGCCAAAAACATGTGCACAGCATCCGAAAAAGAATCTGGATGATGATGATAGGCCCAGTAGTGGGGGTAGTTTTGACAGAAAATGGAGATTTATTCGGCAAAATAAAGTAAATCCTATAGATTTGGCTATTTGTTGGGATTTGGCGCCAGTAGATCCTGACGATGAACCTAAACCGCCTACTCATATAGATGGTTCAAATGGTTCACAAGCTCCTGCAGTTTTTTCTCTGGTACATACTCCCAAAGATGAGAATGAAAATGTACCAAAATGTGATGGGATTCACAGATGTGGTCCAATTTTTGATCATGGAGCGAGAGCCAATCAAGAAAAGGATTTTGTATTTGACCGACCAAGAACTTCTATAACATCAAAGAGCAATGAAAGTTCTAGTGAAAGTAAGAAAAAGAGAGCAAAGAGTGCTTACGATTTACATGATCGAAAAGATAAAGATAGTAGTAAAAGTAGTAGTGCTTCTACGAAAAGCAAAAGACATATAAGCCACCATCAGAGCACTCCAAATTTGAGCGAAAACAATTTCGAGAAACCCCATACCGTGCCACTACCACCATGTAATCAGCACTCGTGCAAGAAATTGGGCAGACGCTTATGCGTCGCTTGTGAACTAAAAAATGTACCTGGGGAACTAAAACCCAAACCCGAATACAAAATGGCATTCAAAGCGGGTGTACCCCATAAATATGTAAGTAGGGCTTTTTGCAAAATTAGTGTTCCTAGACAAAAAGACCCATATAGACCCCTGAACTATGCTATTCATAGTTTAGCTCCACCTTTTTCTTTACAGAAGGATAAGCGCGACGATTACCCAGAACATTGGAGAATGGCTACTGTTTATCAACATTCATATAAACCACTTCATACAAGAAAAAGATCCTTGTTGCAGACTGTTTATAAATAAATTAGATTTTAAGTAGGACTCTGTGAACACTTTTCTTATGCATCTGTAATAATTCTTAACTATTCCTATTTTATCAAATTTTTGATTCTCGGTTTGTAGTTTGTATATTTAAGTTGAAGATACTTAGATACAGTCTGCTGTTCTGAAACAGTCGGTGGTAGGTACTAACAATTCTTAAGTTCTAATTAGGTATGCCCTTTTCTTTTAGGGATTTCAATTAATTAGAAATTGAATATTTTTGTATCAATTCAATGCAGCCTTCTAGTGGAAATTGTGCAATATACTTAGTTTTTAAGAAATAGTTTTGTTGGCTTGTACATGTACAGGGTGTCCGAATTTGGATGGTTTTAATAGGAAACATCAATTTCTTGAAATTTTGATTGGTGCAAACCGCATTTTGATATCTTCAACCGTTTAGCCGCTAGAGGGCGATTCTCGATTTTGAGCAATAATGTGAAACCATCAATACTTTTTTGTTTATGAAAATTATTGATTTCCGTAAAAACTCTCTAGAAGCACTTTTTCAAGCAGAATTCAGTGACGTTCTCAGTTTTTTTCTAGTTGGTTTCAACTCCGAGATATTGACCAAAGTCTGGTTTTTTTCAATAGGATACTCTATATATTAATAGCTCATTAGAAAGCTCGGCTTTTTCTGATTTCAATGATATAAAGTTCGATAGGTTTATCTCTAATAGTTTTCGAGAAAAAATTTATTTCGGTTATTGTCATAAGAAGCAATGTGTAAGAAAAGGACTTTATATCTGTAAGGAAACTGAGAAAGGTCTCTTTCTAACTCATTGTTTCTTATGACAAAAGCTGACATTTTTTTTTTCTCGAAAAGTGTTAGAGATAAACCTATCGAAATTTGTATCATTGAAATCAGCTAATGAGCTATTAATATATATAGGGTGTCCCATTGAAAAAAATCGTAGTTTGGTCAATATCTTGAAATCGGGGCCTAATAGAAAAAAACTGAAAACGTCAATGAATTCTGCTTGAAAAAGTGCTTCTAGAAAGTTTTTACGGAAATCAGTTATTTTCATAAACAAAAAAGTTATGAAGATTTCACAGTATTGCTCAAAATCGAGAATCGCCCTCTAGCGGCTAAACGGTTGAAGATATCAAAATGCGGTTTGCACCAATCAAAATTTCAAGAAATTCGAGCCTCGGAGTGTGGGGTTCATTTTTTTGTATCTCGCTCAGAAATTGACGATTCCTATTAAAACCATCCAAATTTGGACACCCTGTACATCCATATTTTATTTTTGTTTTATATTGTAAAAATTAAGATGCTCAGTTTATTGTCAGAACATTTTTTTTTTAAATTCAACTCTGGATTCTGAACAGTGGCGCACCCAGAAAATATGTTGGGGGCCCTACATAGGTTGTGGATTGGGACTGAAAATCTTCAAAAAACATTCACAGATTTCGCAATTCTTGCAACCATCGGAGTCCGGTGACATCGGAAATGATAACACCATTATGTGGAACCTATTTAACACATAATATATACAGTCGTGAGCATAGCACCCGTTTTTTCCCATTGTAAAACGAGCTCATCAGCTATACCTACGGCAATGACAGGGATTGTTATGTTTGACAAAAAATCCATTGTAGAGAAAAGACTGATTTACCCAAAATAGCGAAAAATGACAAGACCTGCTAGTCGGGTGTCCCAATTTTCATGCTCACGACTGTACTATATGTCGCAGGCTGTGAAATCAGTCTTATTATAATACGCCTAGGCTTTTTTCATACGACTATAGGCGTATTGAAATACCCCAACCCTATAATTAGGAATCAAATCACACAATTTGACTGATAATTTCAGGCTTATTATAATACGCCTGATGTCGCTCGTTACTTAATGTTAAAATGAACCTGCATGCGATTATTTTCAAATCCGACTAGATAAAATTCGTCGTATTATAATAAGAATGACAGTGTGTAGTGTGTCAGTCGAATAATAATAATAATTATTGTTGATTAGTTTTATTTCTGTGTCATATTTGTGCAAAATATTAAAATTAAAAATTAGTATTAGGAACTGTAGTGAGTATCATGAATGGAATTTATGAAATTTGGTACCATACACGGCTGGTTAAATTGATGGTTTTCGAGGGATAAAATCACTACTGCCAAAGTAATGAAATAATTAATAATTCGATAGAAAAAACAATTTCCTCAAGAGTAGCTCTAAGAATGTTTCCAAAATTGGAAGGACAGGGATTAAAAAAGTGTTATAACAATAAATGTAACAAATGTTTATATTTTAAAGCTCGTATGAAATTTACTAGCAACACTGTCATAAAAGCGGATCATGCTGTAATAAATAATCCAAATCTATAATTTGTATTTAATATAGTTTAAACTCTTTAAAATGTATGCTAAAGTACTGGGTGTTCACCAAATGTTGCGCTTTGAATAATTAAATTACATAAAATATTGGGGTGTGAAAATTCAAAACACCTAAAAAAAAAAAAAATCAGCAAACCGTAATTGGTAGGTAATTCTGAAAAGGAAATAAATGCGGCATATAACTCAACCAAATCTTGACACAGGTACCTAAATCAATAAAACAATTAAAGTAAGTTTCAAATTAAATTTTAAAAGATAAAACCAATTGTTGGAAAAACACTTTAAATCAAATCAATAAAAAGAGGTTAACTTTCAAACAGATTCATTAAGCTCAAAAAAAAATCATAAAATTACCAATGTACCTCAAGATAGTTGCCATATAAGTTCATTAACAGTCGCTGATGGCCATATCATTATCATGAAATGAAAATATAAAAGATTAAAGTTTCCAGAAAACTAATTTAAAAAAAAATTAATGATTGAAAATTGTATTGATAAATATGGCCAGCTAAGAGAAAAAAAAATAAAAGTTATTAATGAAACTTTATACAAGCATCCATTCCAACAAAAGGTGGATTACGATAGCCATCCTGGCCATCCATTTTTTTGAAGAGGGAAGTTGCACATATGAAAGTTGCAGATTCTAGCCTTGAATCAAGGTAGATATAGACTAGAAGTTCTCAGTTGTCGTCAAATGTGGAGGTACAGGAGTCAATACGTGAGGGACTTGATTCCTCTAGGAATCCCTTCAAAAAAGTTCTAATCATAGGCGCTGGAACCATGTGAGCTTGAGCCACCGAAGCGAATTTGCTTGTACCCGATTAATGGCGATTTCCATTTGTCAATCAGTACGCACTGAGTGTATCCGCATCTTTTTCTAAAAGCATGCAACATATAAGGATAAGGATACATTTTTTTGCTATGGTTCGACAAATGGAAATTGCTTTAAGGCGAATCGAATCGGTGCTGCATACTGGCGTTGCCAGGGAGGGGGACAAAGGGAAATTTACCCCCTTCCCCCAAAGGCCTTTAAATTTTATTAATGTTCCAAAATTAAAATATACAAAAAAATCAGTTCAAGTCCTAGGTAAATAATCAAATATATGTATATGTTACTGTAAATGCCCGAAATTCGGTAAAACCTAGGATAGGCGCGCTAAACCTAGGATTTACCAAAAGCAAGTGGTAAAAGCCCGAAAACTAGTTATTTTGCTTCCATTTCGGACTTTTACCGGACACAAACAGTAAAGCTTAGGATATACCACACCGCATTGGTAAAAGTACGAATACCACTGATACGTTACAGAAATCGATATCGTGAAAAGATAATTGTTAAAATTTCAATGCCTGAAAATAAGGTACTTCATAAATGAAACATGAAACAAAAAGTCACACTAGAACACCTTTTATTTCAATATTCTTAAATGTAAACAGAAATCATAGTGTTCTTAAACGAGATATTAAAAAAAAAACAACATTAATTCAGGTACTAATATTGCAAAAAGTACTTAAATATTTTAAAAAAAAATCCTTTTATTTATTAAATGAACATTTATCACATCAAATCGTAGTGTATTGCTTTTTCAGGCATATAAGCACTATACTTGTCACTGTTGATGTAAAAATTGTTCTGAACGTTCTTGTCCGCAATTATATGCTATTAATTTTTTCTTAAAAACGCTATTTATCGGCCATGAGATGTCTTTGTATAGCGACATTCTTGGTTTGTCGATATTGTTATTATAAGAAAAATAATTCGTACTTTTACCAATGCGGTGTGGTGAATCTTAAGATTTAGTGTTTGTGTCCGGTAAAAGTCCGAAATGGAAGCAAAATAACTAGTTTTCGGGCTTTTACCACTTGCTTTTGGTAAATACTAGATTTAGCGCGCTTATCATAGGTTTTACCAAATTTCGGGCATTTACAGTAACATATACATATTATAATATAAGTGATGTTCTACTATGAATTTTTATCAAAATTTGTTAAAATGAACGTATCCCCGTTTACTCCCACCATATCAGAAGTCCCAAGAATACTGCAAAAAAACCCAAAAATTTCGCGCCTGCGGCAGCGCTTGCGGAGGAGCTGCAAGGATCACTTCCTGCAAATTTGCCCCCTTCACTTAAGACAAAATCCTTGCGCCAATGATCCTGCTAAGCCGAGCAGCCGAGCTGCCGAAGATGCACGAATTTTAATTATATGCAGGGATAATCAATAATCCAGCTTGGCGATCCTGCAATGAAATGGGTATCTGTCAACTGATCCCATTTAAGCCTAAAGTCTGTTTTTTTTTAAGATAAAAGTCAAAATGACATTATGTTGGCAATACAATGTAATATTGTCAATGCTTTCAAATTTTTTATGTAGAAAACGCTTGTGTTGCCAACATACTTACTAAATTTTTGACTTGGGGAATTATCTTT